GGGGACCAAGATGGCGGCAGGGGAGTGGGACCCCCTGACCCTCAGTGCCCCTCCCCCGCTTGTCTTGTGCTGGGACCTGGGGGATGGGTGACCCCCCAGGAGCCCCTGCCCTCTCAACTGAGCCGGGCGGGGTCAAGTTGGGGGGCTCTGCCAGTGCCAGGCTGCCACAGACCTGGGTGGCCGTGGGAGCGTGCACCTTAACGACTCATCCGGGCAGATCTAAATGCATCTGTTGTATGCACAAGTATGTGGAAGTATGCGTGTATGTGCATGTATGGGGGGGTGCGTCATATATATATATATATATATACACACACACACACACACACACATACATATAGCTAGATTATATATATTTATATTTATTTATATGAAATCAGGGCATGGACAGGTGGGCTGGTTGGCTCTCTCTCTCTCTCTCTCTCTCTCTCTATCCCTATAGCCACAAGTGGGTGAAGCTCGCTCGCTCCCTCCCTCAGGAGCTGCGAAGGCCCCGCACGAAGGGGCGATGGGAGGAGGGCGGGAGTTGCGTACAGAAGGCAGCCGTGGGGGTGGAGGGAGTGGGGCAGGGTGAAATGCTGGGAGAGGCCGGCCGGCCGGCCGGCCAGCCGGCAGGAAACCTGTGGGAACGAAGGAGTCGCCGCAGCTGAGCCAGGCAGTGGGGTAAAACCCCCCCAGTCTCCGCTGAAACCCAATTTAGCGCAATCCAGTCTGCAGACGATTTCTTCTTCTGCAAGTTCCCATTCAAATCTGGTTTTAAAGGTTTGCTGCCTGAGAACAGCTATGTTATTATCTGTGTTACTGAGCCCAGTAATTATCGGTCTGGACTCATGCTGGCGTACACAAAGCACCTGGGTCTATTGCCAGGTGAGGGCCAGGAGAGAGTAATCCAATCAACCTCAAAAAAGCAAGAGTGTCGAGAGCAGGATGTCCCTCTGAATCCCCTGCTTAGATGCCCCAACAATGGTAGAGCTAAAAAAATTGCCCTTTCACTTGTTGGGACACGAGAGTCCCTTTTCAGAGAGGTAACAAGGGGCGGGGGCAGGAGCTTAGGGTTTAGGTTTTTCGAGCGGGGGGTGCGGTTCTGCCTCAGAAAACTTGGGAAGCACAAGAGAGACTGGTTGCTTTGGTTGGTCTCTTAGAAACAACATGTAAACTGAGTGTAACACTTCATAGTATTGTGTGGATACAAAGGGAAACGAGTGAACAATAGCAAATGCTATTGGGAAGAAAAATGTTATAAGGGAGAAGGTTAATTGGCAGCGAAAGCAGGGGCAGGCCAATAAAAAGGCATAAATGGAAGCACAGTCTAGGCAAGAGGACAAAAGGGCACTGAGTTATCCTTAGCCCAGACCTTGGTTTTGGAGCTTTGCCTTTCTGCATTTAAGGATGAGAATCCCACCTGCATCTGTCTTTTTTTACATCTTGTTTTTACCCTTCAAAATTTCTAATAGCTAATGTTAACAAATATAAGCTAACACCCTGGAAGGATCAAGGAATCTGTTTCTAAGTGCCTGGAGGAGAACAAGGTGACAGCCAACATCAAGAGCAACGTATACCCAACCAGCTCAGTTTTCTTCCATGACATGTTGATTGGCTCTGTGGATGGGAGTACAGCATCCTGGGTTGGGCGCTGCACTTCAAGAAAGATGCAGACAAATAAGAAAGTCTAGTGCAGAAAGATAAAATGATGAGAGGTCTGGGAAACATGACATGCAAGGAAGGGCTGAAAGAACTATAATTATGTAGTCTGGAGCGAGAAGACGGAGGGGGACTTTGATTAGTGTCTTCATATACCTGCAGCATGGTTATAGAGAGGATGGAGATGGTCTGTTTTCTGTGGTCACAGGGGACAGGACAAGGAGCCAACGGTCTTAAATTGCAGCAGGGGAAATTTAGGTAGGAGATTAGGATGAACCTTCCCACTATAAGGGTGGCTCTGCATTGGAACAGGTGACTCAGAGAGGTTATGGAAGTTTCCAAGAGCAGATTAGGCAAGCACTTGACTTGGATGGTTTAGATAGGGATGCTCCTGTACTGAGCAGGGGGCTGGACTAGATGACTTGCTGAAGTCCTTTCCAGTCCACTGTTCTATGATCCTACCAGCATCTCATTTAATGTATTCCTTGCATTACTGGGAAGATCTCCTCTACAACTCGGAGTAGGATTCTATTCTGAAAATAACTCCTTAATTCAGTAGGCTTGCCCGGTGTGCATTCAGTTAGATCTGCTCTACTCATAGATGCATGTTTTTCCTTCGGTTGCTCCTCCAGAGGCAGCACAGCTCTGGGGGAAGGAGTTGGCTTGTATGCTGGCTCACGCATCAACAGTCCCATTGTTACCCAAGCTATGCCGTCAGAATCTGTTGACGTGAGCCAGGATACGCAGTACTCGGCTTGGCTTTCAGAGTGAAAGGTGAGTCAGGCAGGATGTGGCAAAGAGCAGTTAACTTTTTACGTGTAAACTGAGCACACAAACAGGATTGAGGGCTCTTGTTGCTAATATGGGTCCAGCAGAACCTTAAAATAGAATGAAAGACAATGATTTAAGTGTTATTGGTGCACTGAAGCCACTCGTGGCAGACTCACTTACCCTGCAGGGACAAGCTAGTTTGTAGCTTACACTCACCTTTTTAAGCCCCTGAAGATGTTTGTATCTAAATTGCCAAGCTAGGAGCAAATACTGATGGATGGGTATTTGAACCATATCTTCCTTTTACCTTTACTGTTTCTTGTACATGTTTCATATTCCTCCTGTGCATTTTTTATGTATATGAGGTTGTTCCGGTCCACTTCTCTGGTCAAAATATTACTGTGGATGATAGACGAAAGCCTTCTGAACAGAGGACTGCCTCATTTTCTCTTCTATATAGTGGAGCTCCCTATCAAACCCCTCCTCTTTGGAATCAGTGGGTAGTCAAACCAATGACTTTGAAGAATAAGGTCACAAGGTATTTCTTGAATCCAGTTGGTCAAAGGGGACAGGAAATACTTCCCACAAATACAGACTCATTAATTGGATGGGAATCAAATAAATATTGGGCTTCCAGCTTGAGGTCTCTTAATAGAGTAAGAATGCCTGAAAACATGAAATTTAGAGATATGTAGTAAGACTAATGCAAGGTTTTGTTTGCAGTTAACAAGTTCTCTGTGCGTTGTTTTTCTCTTTTCTGTTTCTATGTGCTGATTAAGTATTTAGGGTGTACTGTGGTAGAGCAGTTGTAATTAGGGAGTAGACATACATGCTCTCTTCTGAGTTCTGCCCTGAAGTCGCTCCGTTATTGGAATGGTGCTTACCTCACCTTTTGGGCTTTGTTTTCCTGTTTGAAAAAAAAGTCTGCTGCTTTTCCCTGGGTGGAGGAGGGGAAGAAAGGTTAGTGAGGCTTCATGTAATACTTTAAAAGATGGGTTGCATTACTTAAGTGAAAAGTGCTTTGGAAAGGTACAAAGCTATTTCTGCAGGTAGGTTTGAGCAGTGGGAGGGGTTACACTGAATAACATTAGCAGCTTCAAAGAAACAGGCAAGATGATTAGTCTTTTTCATGAAATGGTTCTAATTAATGCTGGTTATTAAAATTGGTAATGGTAAATAAGCAGTTTGGCTTCAGTTGGACTCCCAAGAGCCCCTTTTTGCATGACAGATTGGCTGCTAGAACATCAGGCTTTCTTTCTACCTCATGTTTGAGTACCTTGAGCAAACTCATTCTACTAGATCTTCCTCTGTTAGTGTTTATTTAAGCTATAAAGGCCAGGAGTGGATGCAGCAAAGATCAGGGGTCTTTAAATGTTGGGTTGTTTCAATCAAGGATGGATTCTAATAGAGCTGTTCTCTTGCTGCTGTATCCAAAAGGTCTAAATGTGATTAAGAGAAGTAGTAGACGTTAAAAAGCAAACAAAGCAAGAGACGGTCTTTCCTTGAGTGTCAGACTGTAGAGCATCCTTGATTTCAAAGCAAGTAGTTGGAGGATAAGCATTAGGTGCTCTGTGCTAAGTGAAAATCCAATACTTGCCTCTCCTAGGCAGGAGAAGGGGGCATCACTTTTGCAAAGGGAAACAGCTGGCAAAGGAGTAACTGTAGCTGAGGTAAGAACAGATGAGAGATTTTTTTTAATTACTCTTGATGTTTTCTTTTTGCAGGCAGGTGGGAGCCATTTTGTGATTGACTCTCTGGAAAGAGAGAGCACATAATCAGCTGCTTGGGGCTGAGCAGGCACTGCTTCAGAGCAGAAAGTAGTGAATCACTGAAATACAGAGCCCAACAGCACCATGGCAAGCTGTTCTTCTCAGCCCTTGGGGCCTGGCTTATCTCATGAACTTGATAACAGTCCAGTGCCCGGAGACAAAAGGGCCTTGCACTCTCCAGACGGGGCTCAGCCTGAGGAGTCCACTAAGAAACGTTGCCAGCTGAATCACTACTGCAACACTCCATGCCCATTGGAGAAACTACTGCTGAGCTCCCCAGATTCTGCTTGCTTCCTGGCATCCTCTCACTGCCTGGATGATGCTG